TATATATATATATAGTGTTTGAACAAAAACTATTAAATTTGAACGAATCATAGCTAATACACTAGATTTGTGATGGTGGAGATAGGATTTATCAAGGGGATTTGGAATATTAAAAAGTAACCACACGAGCATCTCAAGAAGATTCAGTATCTACTATATTTATGCATAAAAATACTTTTGACCATATATATACAATGTAAGTTTTCGATCAAGATGTTCGTCCCTACTGACACTATGGCAGCCTTCCAAGTTGCTATCGGTTATTTAATCTTATCTTATAACAGCAATTATTTTTTCTTTTCTAGATAGTGAGATACTGAAGATGATTGTGTGGCATCTATTTTAAGCAATTAACATAAAGTTAAGTCTAGGTTAGTGACCCCTTCACATGGTATTCTTCTTTTGTTTCTTTATGGTAACTTCCCCCGTAACGAATGGCATGATGATCATAACTGTGTAATGAAGAATCCAGAAAAGGGTTAATTGATTATAAGGTGAAAACATCTGCCAAGCATATTATTAAACTCTATCCTTAAGTCTTTCCACTTATCTTTTTAAATTTAAACGACCTAGGTGAAAAATAACACAATGATTAAGACATTTAATTGTATAGCCAAAAAGGACAGCATGCAAGAAGCACCTCGTCTGGGAGTAGCATTATGTATTCTCATCATGCTAAAGCTCTAATAAACAGTCTGTTTACCTTAGAAATAAGATAACAATTGAATTTGTACGTCATTTTAAGGATACGGAATATAATTTGATACAAAGTGATAAATCGGATCAGTTACGGAAATAAAAGATAAAAAGGTAAATGCAAACCACGCAAGTCTGAGCAATCCTAGCATGTGAGATTAATCTTCCCCGAGCTGAAAATAATATAATTGATAATATTGTTGATGCTCCAGTGCAATGAACTATGACAAAGATAGAAATAACAGCATATAGCCTTTTGATATAAGTTACAATGTGTCCTATGAATTATCAAGTCCTCCTTATATATTAGGGGAGAACTACCTTTTGAGATATTATTTTATTGCTCTATCAAAGGCAAAATTTCTTGATTTGCTGACCGTTGGTTCCCTTTTTGAGTCATTCCATAATTTTCGCCACAATGATTGGTTAATGGCGAGAATTACGGACCCCTGTCTGATGAGTTGGCAAAGCTTTCTTCGAGACCGTTAGAAACAGGACCGGTCACGTCTTCGACAAACTCGAGGGCAAATCTGATGGTTTCGATGGCTAATTTTGATAGTGCTTTGGGTTCGATCATAATTACCATGTGCCGATCTTAGTTAGTGGTGTTAGTCGTCAGATCGATCTTTGAGCTCGATCTCACCCGATCACAGATATTTCGGCCCTCGCCTAATCAAGGATTTTGGAAGCTCGATCGAATATTGAGCTCGGTTTTACTTGTATACAGATAGTCCTCTCATTTTTCGGAGAGTAGATGACGAGAAACGATATGAGCCTCAGATTCTCACTTCGATATATCATGACGCAAGTGACAAACTATGTTGTCAAAATCCCCTTATTTTTCGGAAAGCAAATGATGGGAAACGGTTCGAGCTTTCGATTCTTACTTCGATAAAATATGATGATGAATTCATAAGTGATAAGAATAGTGGAAACATCCCGTCGGTCCAGTCTTCGGGGCATTAAATGTGTGTCAGTCAATGGTCGGCCATCTTGGGATATGAACATCGGTGATATGAACCGCCGTTTGGGAATACTATAAATACCCTTCAACCCATTCATTAGAACCTTTTCCATTCCAACTCTTGCTCTTGCGTTTTAAGAGAATTTCATCATCCTTGCCTTCTGGTTTTCTGGTTTTAAACTTAAGAACTTCCTTCCTTGTGAGGTTTTTTGAAATTTCTTCATAAGTTACCTGCTAGTTATAACTCCTCTTTTACCAACATCTTCTTCTTTCCTCTATTTTAGAAGAAATGGCAAAGACTTCAAAATATGTTCTTAAAAAAGAGACCCCTTCTTCCTCGAAGCCATCGAAAAATGTTTCACCTGCTGCTATTGAGGAACCAATACCGGAACCCCTCTAAAGTTATTTGTCCCTTCGGCGTGCCCAACCGGGGCTGACTTCAAGATCGAGCAAACCCCCTTGGTACCGGGTCGGTGCGAGCCGGTCTCGAGGTACATATGTACTATTACAATAGATATCCTCGATAAGGTCAAAAAGGACTGCAACTGGGAAGATAAACTCGTAGTGGTCCCTACCCCCGAGGAATCGATCACCACCTACGTGGAGGGTTTTTTAAGTGTTTACACTTACCCTTTCACGTTGGGTCCTTTAGACCCAGTTATCATAGCTTTTTGCAAAAGGTATGAGGTGCCGCTCGGGTAGATCCATCCTTCATTTTGGAGGATCATTATTCTGCTTCGTTTCTTTGTGAGCAAGCTCGAGGGATATCCATTTACCCTCGACCACCTCATACATCTGTATAGCCCTCGACTTTACCGAGGGGGATTAATCAAGCTCACACGTCGAGCCACTAAGGCCATATTTTCGAGCATCGACGAGGATCGGGACCGGGGCTGGTTAGGCCGATTCGTTGGAGTGAGGACCTCGGACTTGATCCCAGCTATGGATATGCCATTTTCTGAGAAATAGAATAGGAAATGTAAGTATAACTTCGCCTTCAAGATTTCATTTATTTCTTTTCTTTTTCATCCCTTCTCATCGATGTTATATGATGATACAGTTGTTGCCCAGATGTCGGATGTTGTTCCTCGACTCAAGGAGTAGGTCGAGGGAATTTTGACATAGAGACCTTATTTCGAGCGCTTATGGCGTGAGCTCTCGAAGGGCCGATGGGAGGCTCGTAATCATGGTGAGAATTTCTCCTCTAAGTTATATTTGATCTTACTTTCACATCATCGATCTCTAAATCATTTTACTCTTTTTTTGCAGGTTTACCAAAAGAGGTCGAAATGAGTCCCCCATCAGCCGATGGCG